CTATGCTGAAAGAAACTGTCAATGAGTCTTTGGTTGACCAGTATTGCATGTCTATATCTGTTTTCATGAGAAGCCACTTTGAAGATATCAATATGTAATAAAACCACCATTGTTAATTCCCTACCACTTTGTTTGAAACTCTGTATTGTCTATATTCTGCTTGTGATATGTTGTAAAATGTTGTATGTCTGTTAATGTTTCTCTCCTTTTATCTTAAAAATAAAAAAAATAATAATAATAATAATGAAAATTCACATGATTCTTTCTACATCTCAAAAATATTTATATGAAATGATTTCAACACTGACATAATCCATAATAAAAATATAGAGAACCATAACTGAATTATCTTGTGCTTCCTTTGAAAACCTTCATGGCTGGTATGATGGAGCCACGAATGACAAGGATTATTGTATATGCCAACTTTCACTATCTTCAACAGAATTCTTGCTAAGCCAATTACTATTGGCTTAAGAGAATTTTTTCTTTTGTTCCTTTAACGAGGAAGCTAACTGATACTTCCCTTGACTCCTTTGGAAGATTTTGTAGAATTATTAGATTGCATTGCCATTAAACAAATTCATCACTTGCACTACTACAGCTCTATTCCTGTGTCATTTTTCTACACAATTTTCACACTTCCTAACATTTTACCATCCCACTAATCTAATTTTAAGTGAGGGATTCCTCCATGTTTTTCTCCTCCGCCCTTGCAGACAAGATGTTCTCCATAACCTATTGCTGTTGCCAGATGATCACCCGCAATTCTACATCTGTGTGTGTGTGTTTGGGATCATGTGACATTTGGCATCACCTGCCAGTTGTATTGCAAGACATGGCTAATTTATCAAGTTAACATTTATTAGAAATATTTGTTTGTCTTGGTGAACACTCACAGAACAAGTTACTCATGATGTAAAGTTTCACTTACATCCAAGAAATGTTCATATCATGTGACCATGACCATATATCACTCAGGTTCTCGATAAATAGCTCTGCTGATATTATTTATGTGCTGTGCCCTGACTGTTGGTTGAATGCAACTTGCTTTGGCTCGGCTAAGCAAACTAACACAGATTTGTCTACATATCCTCCCACCTCAGTCCTGGAGCTAAAATGAAGGATCCAAGGGATAACCCAATGTAGCTCCTGAGCCAAATTACTGTCTTCTAATTATACCTTCTCCAGGGTCACATGAAGTGATAACCACCCTATGCCCATGTTGTTCTCAGATGCCTCTTCAAACTACGAGGCTATGTGATGTTACCTGTGATGAGACATTCTTTTGCCCATTTAGCAATGAGATGGACATGAAGAATCTTCTTCAGAGCTCACAGTAAAGACCTCAGGCACCAACATCGATTATAGTCCAGCAACAGAGAACGGGACTTCTCTGTTAAGATGTTATATCCTCTTCAAAAAACTCTCACTGGACTGAAGTTCTTGCTGTAGTACCATCCAATTGCACCCTTCTTTTGTCACCACAGTGGAAAGAGATCAGTTTATCCAAAATTATTTCTATAGAGTGCCTATTTAATAAGTGTGTCAGCACAAATTTCAGATCTGTACTCAAAGGATTACTGAAGTGGGACTTGTTAAATTAGTAGGAGAATATGGTATTTTCCATGCTGTATTTCAGTGGTTTCCACATGTGGCCTGTGTCTTAATGATGCTAATGACCTTGGCATACTTAAATTGTGAAGAATTATATTGGTCTGTCATGTTTGTTCATATGAGAAAGAAAAGCATATGTAGTAATATTAGATTTCAGACAAGGGATAGGTGATTTTTCTAAAGAGTTTTAATAATCATAGCTATTTCAAATACTGGAGGAGGAAGAGGAGGACGAGGATGAACAAAAATAACAACAGGAGCAGCAACAGCAGCAAAAGCAAGAACAAGAAGAACAAGAACAGAAACAGAAACAAAAAAGAAACAGGACAAGAACAAGGAGAACAAGAATAAGAACAGGAACAAGAACAAGATCAAAAAGAGGAACAAGTAGAACAAGAGGAAGAGGAGGAAGAAGCAGAAGAAGGGGAAGACAAGGAAGAAAAAAGTAGAAGAAGGAGAGGGAGAAGAAGAAGGAAGAGAAGGAGAAAGGGGAAGAAGGGGAAGGAGAAAAACGACAAGGGAGAATGTAAACTAAAAATCTCAATTTCTCAAATTTACTTTTTTATTCCTAGGCACTTCCTACCTATGATGTTCTGGGAGAGATGGAATACCTGGACATGGTGGTGAATGAAACTCTCAGGTTATACCCAATTGCTACCAGAAGTCAGAGAATCTGTAAAAAAGATGTTGAAGTTAATGGAGTGTTCATTTCTAAAGGAACAGTAGTGACGGTACCAATGTTTGTTCTTCACCATGACCCCAAATACTGGCAAAACAGTGAGGATTTTCGCCCTGAAAGGTACAAGATTCCTAGAAAGTAAACCTACTTTGAGCCAAGCTGGTCAGAGTATGCCACGATGTCTCTTCCTAGAAATGACATGTGATGATTGCAATGATTTACAAATAAGGAAATGTGTCCTTTTTTGTTTTAGAATTTAGTAAAGTTATAAAGTGATATCTGTGTGAAAACTGCTAACACTTAAGGAAAAAAAAAATGCACTTCCACACTTCCCATACCTTAAAGTAAAATTCTTACCTAAGATAAAATATCTTAATATGGACATATTTGTGCACATATTTGCAATAACTTGAAAGATATCACATTTTGCGTGTGTTTTCAAGTGATGCTTACTTTACATACCGTAAACTATACATACCGTAAATTATAAACTCCTCTCATTTGTGATATGTATATATGTCTTTCCTGTGCTGAATCTGTGCATCTTTCATAACTTCATAGGAAGTGGTCTTATTTCACGTGTACAGGCTTTTGTGATTTTTATGTTTCTGGTGATGTTCATTTCAGGTCTCTGAATTTATCACCAAATTCAAGAAATTATTCTACCTTCCATTTGATAAAACATTGATTTCTGGTCCCTCTAGTGTGAGGATAAATGTTCAGGGTGAGGGCCCGAGTAATCCTCCTCCATCCTGGTTCAACCACCTTCCCTAAGGTCTGAGGAAAGAACAGGCCTTCCTGGGCCTGTCTCCGGCTGCTCTCCTAGTTAGATTGCCTCACATTCTTTGTAGGTGGTGACTCCTCCAAAGCCAAGGCATCTGCCCTGTACATTTGTGAGGGACTCTTCCTTGGAGATGTCTTGCAAAGTCAGGATTTGGGTTCAGTTTACATTTTGGAAGCAGGTGGTGTTTCCTCATATTTGTGATAGAAAGGAAAATAGAAATTAGGCTTTTACTGTGCTTGGTGCTCTGTCAGGAAGCCTTGGACCTGGGATTACTATGCATTTTCTACTGTCAGGAACTTGTATTATTGCCAATGGTTTCCAAAGTGCTACCATTAAGACCACACATATTACCTGTGAGAGAGTTCAGCTCTCCATTTTACAGATATGAAGAGCATTTCCTTCAGCCTCATCACTTCTGACTGCCCTAATTTCAAGAAAATGAAATGCTTATAGAATATAATGTCAGTGGGCGCTGGGGATATAGCTCAGGGGCACAGCACCTGCCTAGCAAGTTCAAGGTCAGGAGTTCGATTCCTAGTACCAAAAAAAACCAAAAAGAATATGATGGAAGTGGAAAATACCTTTAAATTATAATTCTCACAGTGAAATAAATACAGCAGGTTTTCAGTAACTAGACCACAGAACTACTCTATACATCCTTGTCTGCAGGTCTGTGTGAGAGCCCCAAACATGAATCTCTGTGGTTTTTATATCTCATTCCCTTGTTTCCATTTATTGTGGCAACAGGTTCAGTAAGAAGAACAAGGAAAACATTGAGCCTTATGCATACATGCCCTTTGGGGCTGGACCCAGGAACTGCATTGGCATGAGGTTTGCACTTATGAACATAAAACTTGCGATCACCAAAATCCTGCAGAATTTCTCCTTACAACCATGTAAAGAAACAGAGGTAAGAACTTTTTTGCAGAAAGAGTCTTTTAAATAGGCTTTTTTAGTTTTTAAAGAGAATAAAAATAACTTTTAAAAACTTTTAGAAATGATACAGAATTTCAATAAATAAGATGATAAGGCTTAAACAGTGGTTATTATACTAGGGGAAAGGAGAAAAGAAGAAAGAAAGAAAGAAAGAAAGAAAGAAAGAAAGAAAGAAAGAAAGAAAGAAAGAAAGAAAGAAAGAAAGAAAGAAAGAAAGAAAGAAAGAAAGAAAGAAAAAGAAAGAAAGAAAGAAAGAAAGAAAGTTTTTTTAAAAAAAAACATAGATGTCAATAAACCACAAATGTCTATACAGAAAATATATATTCCCATATTTTGTTCAGTATGCAAGAAAGACCTACTTGGAATCCTGTGTGAGCTTTAAGATATTTCCATTCTAGAGCTGAAAATCAGCATGCATAAAGCACAACAATAATAATCATATAGGCTCCATGTTGATTGGCATGGTGTGCTTATGTGTGCTCTTCAAAACTGAGCAAATTTTAAAATTTAGTTCATGCCAGGTGGACATTGGCTATGTTGTCCAGAATCATGAGGTGCAATAATCACCTCATCATGATGTGTGAGTGGTGCTGTATACTAACGGAACCTATAGAAGCTTCCTTGTAACAGGAGTTCTTAGCCATGGGGTGTACACTGGAATCACTGACAACACATGGACATCTTACTGACGACTATTTCAAAAATATCACCTAGGTCCTCTCAGACATTTAAAAATATTTCAACAAGAGAATGGATTTAAAAATCTCTACATTTGTTCTCATGTTGTACCCAGCTTGAGAGTGACTGGTTTAAAATATTCCTGCTTGATATAAAAACCACACAGTATACTCCTGGCTATTGGACCTCACATTTCATGGACTGTGCTGCAGGCAGACTGGATGCTTTTTATGATCTCAAAAAAGTGCATATTTATTCTCTTTTATTATTTGTGTTATTACTTTTCCAGATTTATCCAATCTGTGGCCTCCTCCATGTAGCCTTCTCCACCTTTTCCAGGACCTGTTCACACTTCCATTCAGTTTTTATTTACTGCAGGCTGCTATCATCATTCAACATGCTTTTACATTGCACTATACAATCTGATTATTTTTGCTGTCATTAGAGATGTAACCACCTTTTGTAAGACATTTCCTATTATTCCTTTCTTTTTTTATTTTAAAGATAAAAGGAGGGAAACATTAACAGACATACAACATTTTAAAACATATCACAAGCACAGTGCAGACAATACAGAGTTACAAACAAAGTGGTAGGGAATTAACAATGGTTGTTGTATTACATATTGATATCTTCAAAGTGGCTTCTCATGAAAACAGATATAGACATGCAATACTGGTCAACCAAAGACTC